GAAGCATCGCCTGGGACCTCCTCGAACGGCTCGAGCCCAGAAAACGGTCTTTTAAAACGCCCCGGACGCGCCGTCGCCAAACCAGACGCCACAAACCATGCCGCTCGGCGACCTGCGCACGATCCTGCGCCACCTCGGCAAGTGGCCGTCGACGAAGCCGCGCGACTCCATCTACCGCGCGCACGTCATGGGCGAGTACCGGAGGCACGCGGGCGAGGCGGACCCCGAGGCGCTCGTCGCGCTGCGGCGGCGCGCGACGGACTACGCGAACCTGCTCACGGGCGTCGAGGAGCAGAAGCGGCTGCGGGCCCTCGACACGGGCGCGGAGATGTCGACGAGCATCAAGGAGGCCGCGCGGCGCTCCGCCGTGCGCTCGGGCCTCCTCGCGCCCGAGGAGTCGGACGCGCCGTTCGACGACGTCTTCAAGAAGCCCCTGAACGGGTAGCGCCTGTAACTAACTCGTCGCGCGTCTCTGGTTTTACGTAGTGTGGTGTGGGAGCACGGCTCGGCGGCGTCGACTCCACCGAAAGCCGCACCTTGAATGTCACGTTGAACTCGATGTTGTACTTTACTGCACGCTCTTCAGGGGCAGCGCGGCCGCTTGCTCTCCGCTCGCTGCCTTCTCCGCCATGCGCGCGCTCGCCCTCCTCGCATTGGCAGCCGTCGCCGACGCCTGGGATGTCAACGCGACGGGCGCGTCGGCTGGCTGCGGCAGCGCGCCGCCGGTCTATCCCGGCGCTCCCGCGGCCAAGCTCGCCATGTGGGCGCCCGACGCCAACCCGCTGTTCCCCGACGGCTACGCCCAGCGCCACTACTTTTTGTGGGTGCCGCCGACCTACGACCCGAAGCAACCGGCGTCGCTCGTCGTCGACTTCCACGGCTTCTACGACAACGCCGGCGACGAGGTCGAGGAGTCCGGGTTGATCGCCGTCGCGACGGCCGCGGGGTTGAACTACGTCGTCGTCTACCCCGTGGGCTCCGGCGGCGGCGGCAGCGGCGACTCGCGGAGCTGGAACGTCGACGGCAACGGCCTCAACCGCGACGACGGCCCCGGCGGGCCCGTGTGCCGACTGCCGCGCGCGGCGTCCCGCGGCCGCGACGATGTTCGAGAGATTTGGGGTGGGCAAAACAATGAGGCATCGTGACCGTCATGCTCGGTAGGCCGCGCACGAAGGACGACGAGTACGTCTGCTACGAGTCGTGCAAGGTGACGCCCCGGGGCTGC